GCTGGGGTGCCCCTGTGCGGGAACAGCTGCCTCTGGGCTCGCGGGGGGCTCGAGGGGGGCTCTCAGAGGCGGCCCTGCATTTCAGCCCAGTTAAGTTTTGTCTCTGCGGACTTCATGTCTCCGGGGACAGGGCTGCCTGGCCGCCTCCCTCCGGGAGGATCTCTTGTTGCCGGCTTGCCTGTGTGCTGCCCAGGGCGGCCACGTGACGGGGTCGCTGTGCAGAGAGCTCCGTCCTGCCCTGGGACGGCCCAGCCGAGGAGAGGAGACAGAGCAGACAGAGCAGAGGCGGCCGGTCCCTGCAGAGCACAGCAGACACAGCAGGCGGCCGGACGTCCCTGCCGGGCTCCCTGCGCGCAGTTGTGGGCCGGGGAGGGGCGGCTGCCTCCTGCCTCCCCCACCCTCCTCCGCCATGCGCCCTCCTCAGCCTCTGGAATGTGCGTGGCCCAGGGCCGGTCCCCACAGCGCCTGGCCGGCGACGCATGGAGCGTGCTGAGCCTGGACGCCGCCTGGACTGTCCCGCCGGCCTGGTCCTGCCCCGAGAGCGCGGCGCCTGGCCCGGCCCCCGGAGGCCCATGCGAGCCGACGGCATGCGGCTCAGGGAGCTGTCCCTGCGCGGGGACCCCGACCTCAGGCAGGAGCTGGCCTCGCTGGCCCGCGGCTGTGACTTCGTGCTGCCCTCCCGGTTCAAGAAGCGGCTGAAGGCCTTCCAGCAGGTCCAGGTCGGTGGCGGCCCGTCTGTCTGTCCGTGCATTGTCCCGCGGGGGTCCCTCTGAGACGGGGTTTGGGGAGCCTCTGGTGCTCGCGGGGTGCTTTCCCTTCCCCTGTGTGTGTGTGTTTCCCCCGCAGCAGCCCCTGTCGCGGGTGTAGACCCCGGTGTCCCCTGTGGCGTGGCGTCAACAAAAGTTTTGCAGGATCCGCTGTGTGCGCGGTGGGAGGCCCGGGGGCCGTGGAAAAGCAGGTGTTTCTCTTTGCAACGCCGTCTGCAGCTTGTTAGGAAAATAGTTCTTTAAAAAGACTGTCAGCGTCTCCTTTCCCTGTAGTTTCAGCTGCAAATACGGATAGCTGGTGGCGTGAACATATTAAGGCCTGTTTTCTGTGGGGATTATCTGTACAGAGATCTTAAATTTAAGTAGTAGCTCGAGTTGTTAGTGATAAACGCTGGGGACGTCTTCCCTCTCCGTAAACGCGCGAGCGAAACTCCCCCTCCTTGTCGGAATAGGCCGCATTCCTTCCTACTTACGGGCTAATTCGGTTTCTAAAGCGCTTTGTTGAGAGATCCCACAGCAAACAACTCACCCAGCCCGGCTGGCTTTTAGTACCTAACTGGCTTTGAAATGCAATCTCAATTCTCACAGATGCTCGGGGAAGTTAAATTTGTCTGTGTCTATACCTCACGTATATTTTGCATCAGCTTTAGGAATACCGTGTATGAGACTCTTTGCTCGACAAACCCGGTATCATCCGGTGACTTTAGGTTTTGGTTGTGGCCGTAGCTTGCCCTGACCTCGCCCGCGGGACATTCGGCACATTAAAGAATTGTGTTTTCTCTTGGCTTAGTAGTTCATCGGCCCCAAAACATCCAGTGAACCAAACCATCCTGTTTGGAGGCAAAAAAGAGACCTGCTTGGCGTTGATATTGTAACCGGAATTTTTCTAAGATCCCACCTCCACTTTTACACTAACGTGAGTTTTTTCTGCCTTCCACATTTTGTCTGTAAGTGGGTAGGCAGTGGTTTCAAGTTTCAAATTTCTTCCGTGTTTTAAAGGAAAGTCTCTTGAAAACCATCCTAATTTGGAGACCTTCCTCGTGAAATCAGCCTCATGATGAAGCTGTTTTACATGATGGGGAAACAGATGTTTAGTAGTTAAAGTTTCTCTTCTGCCATGAGCTGGGGTGTGTGCAGATTTGGAAATCCTTCTCCCAGCGTGGCTGCTGCTGTTTAGCTTGGGCCATTGTAACCCGATAGAGCCGTTTGCCTTTACGGGGTCCCAGACTCAAGGAGGCAGAACCCGTTTACGAAAGTCGGAGTTGTTTTAGGGTGACGCTCTGTTTTACAAAAACTACTTTTTGGGAAGCTAGGAATTCCGTTCGTGGGACGTTGCTTCATTTTACGGAAAATGTCTCTTAGGGGTGAGAACGTTTGCTGTCTAAGGGGAGTGTTCTCTGAAGTGTGGTGGGTGGGTTGCAGGTTTATCGGGGTGTCTGCGGAGGAGTGTGGGGAGCAGAAGGGACTTTTCCCGGCTCCATTTGACTGCGGGTCCGTCTGTCGGGGGTCGTGGCCTCGGTGGCTCGTCGGTGACGTCCGTGGCTTCCCCGCTGGAGGTGGTGGGGCGCGGGGCCCCCGCCCTGAGACGCTCCCCGAGGTGGCCGCGCTGGGCCTCGTCTGTGCCCGACCCTCCCGCGGTGTCTATTTCCAGCCGACCTCTTGCTGCTGCTGCTGCTGCGGCCTCCGTGGGGGAGCCAGAGCCAGCCTCCCCCGCCACGCTGCCTTTCCCCGTCGTGGCGGGTGCGGGTTTTGGCCGCTGTCGGCCATGGGTGGGGGACGAACAGCCCGTGCACTCGCCATCGGGTCTGGGGGGTCGGGTCCCCCAGAAGACAGTGTGGTGTCGTGTGGTGTCATGTGGGTGTGTGCGGGCTGCTGCAGCCTCCTAACCTCTGACCCCACCCTTTGAACTCCGCCCTCCTCCCCAGTCTGGCCCCAGCCTGGTGGTCACCCGCGTCCTCACTGACAGACACGCCGCCACCTTTGCCGTCCTGCTGGACGCCGCAGGGCACACGTGGAGTGGGCCGCGCGGGCCCCGCCGCCAGCCCTTGCTCCGGCTGTCCTGTGTCCACCCGTCACCTGCCCCGGGACTCTTGGCCCTTTTGTCCCCTGTCCCCTCCTCCCATGGACGGCCCAGGACAGCTGTGCTGCGCCTGGTCCTGCCTTTGCCCTCCTGGGGGGCGAGTCTCCCCAGCCCCACGCCCTGCCCCGGGGCACCGAGACCCTCCTGGCTGCATGTACACCGTCCAGCGTCCCCCGGGACCTTCAGACCCCACGCAGCACCTGCCGGGACTGACAGTGCTGCCCCTTGGAGGCACTCTGCGAGGTGGCCGTGCCCGGTGTGGGGACCGTCCTCTGCCCTGTGTGGGGGCCGTCCTCTGCCCTGTGTGGGGCCGTCCTCTGTCCTGTGTGGGGACCGTCCTCTGCCCTGGGTGGGGACCGTCCTCTGCCCGGTGTGGGGGCCGTCGTCTGGCTGGTATGTGGGGCCGTCCTCTGCATGAGACAGCCTGGGCTCTGCTCTAAGACCTGGCGCCAGGCAGTGGTCACAGAGCTGTGCAAGGAACGTGCCGGGCACTCCCCTCGCTCTGAATTCCGGGGGGTCCTCCGTCACCCCCTTCGCCCACAATGTGGTGGACGCAGGCTCCCTTCACCCGGCTCTTCCTGTCCCCACCCCCGTGGTGGCCGGCGTGACCTTGTCCACGTCCTCCAGCCCTGCAGAGCTTGTCAGCCATGCCCTGCTCCAGCCTGGGCGCGTCCTGCAGATGCGGGACAGACACACCAGCCGCCGTCCCGCCATCCCGGCAGGGGCGGAGCCCGGCCCCGCCCGCCCAGCCACACCTGTGCTCCCTGTCTGTGTGGGGCCGGCTGCGGGAGCTCACCCCTGGGCTCGCTCACCTGTGAAACCGCCGTGCGGTGTGCGTCGACCCTTCATGCCAGTCCCCCCTGGTTGGTCGGGCGGCCTGTAACCCGCCCGGGCTTTCTCGTCCCAGTTCTGCTCCTGCGTTTCAGACTTCACCTTTGACTCCTGTTTGCCCACCCAGCCTGTCCTTCGCAAGTGTGGCTGACGACCCTCCTGCCGGCCCTCGTGGGGCGGCCGTGGGAGACCCCAGCGCTGGGCCCAGCAGGAAGCTCGCCATGCCGACCCTCCCTCCCTCCTTCCCGGGTGGCGGCCGCCGTCTGGGTCGGTGACGGGTTCACCTGGAATCCGCTATGTGGGTCTGGGCTGAACTCCCACAGCGCCGTCCACGGGGATGCCCTGCGTCGTCCTGCGGCCTCGAGTGGGGTGTCTCTGCGTGGGGGCTCCCCTGGGACACTGTGGGGTTTGCGCCCGTACTGAGCACCTCTGGCCTCCTGCTGTCCCCTCCTGTGCTGTGGCTTCACCGTGGTGTCTGGTCTGGCTGGGGTTGCAGTGAGAGTCACTCTGCTTGTCACAGCACCCTCCTGGGCACACCCCGGGGACACTGACGTTGTCCGACCAGCGTTTGGAGAAGGTGCACGACCAGTTACCCGTGGCCCGGCTGTTTCCTCGCAGAATGTAGCTGCTCCCTGAAAGGTCATTGCTCCTGTGCAAAGACAGACACCTGTTTTACGCCAAGGTGGTGCTTTTACTCATTTATGGGCACGTTTTGCAGGACCGTGTGTGTTCTGGGAGACCAGCGGGCGTATCTGCGATTTCTGGAATTTCCATGACTCAGCGAGGTGAGTCTCCTCCGCTCTCTACGGAAATAGCCCTCGGTGCGGCGGGTGTCGTCCTTATCGTGTGCCCTGGGAAGCCTGCACCGTCGCGCACATGCCGAGTGGGATCGTGGGATCAGGGGCGGAACGGTCTGGCAACCGACTGCTCCCTTGTTTGTCTTAGTTTTTCCAAAGACCGAGCCCTGCGTGAGAATGGTTGTTTCGTGTACACGCGTGCACACACGTGTACTGTCTGCTAGTCCCGTGTCTAGCACGGATGCCTGATCGCACTGAGGTCGGGCAAGCGGCCTCTGAGCCCCTCGGAACCCAGCGAGACGGCCCCGCGGCCGGGTCCCCCGTGCGTGGCTGCGTCGGTGAGGAATGTCGGTTCTGCAGCTGCGCCGGCCACGCTCTATTTACATCCGTGCGACGTAAATGGTTTACTGTTTGCTGTGTCTTTTTTATCTTTTAAAAAAAAAAGTGTTTAGCCTCTGTGTCCTTATGTCTGTGTTATAAATGTGTGTCATTTTCTTTTTCCAGGCTGATCTCTGTCTTTGAACTGGGACATTTGCTCTATTTATGATGACCATTCGTCCACGTGCTTTATTTTCACTATCTTTGTGTCCCTTTTGTCCTCCCCATCTTTGCCTGCTTCAAGGCTTCTCGTCTGGAGTGTCCCGTTTCTACTTGCTGCGTACGCTGGACATTGTCTACGTCCACGGTGAATCACTGTCTTCTCCCGCTAACTCCCAGACCCCAGCCCGTCACCTCTTCCCTGATGGACTGTTGTTCTGGTCTCGAGTTTCGTTTTTTTTTCTAAAGACTTAAACTTACAGTGTTATCACTGCTCGTGTGCTCGGATTTCCAGCACAACACCGGTGACCTCGCTCTTCCTTCCTTGCTTCCCCGACACCTGCCTTTCGGGAGTGTTGGTTCTGCCTCTCCCCGAAGCGCGCGCCCCGCTTTCCCTGGAATGACCATCCACTAACAGCAAACACAGCCTTTTTTTTTTTTTTTTTTGGTCTAAAAATGTCTCGGTGTTAATCTTGCGAGATACTTCACAGGACACGGAGTTCCAGGCTGGCAGCTGTTTCCTCCCGCGCCGGGTGTGTGTCGCTGCTGTCGAAAAGTCGGCTGGAGGTCTGACTGTGGCTGCTTTGAAGATTACCGCCTTGTTTTGTTTTATTCTGTCTGTTTTTGCAGACCTGCTGGTCGTCTTCAGTGTTCTCCAGTTTCCTCATTCTCTGTCTGGGTTTCTTTTCCTGTCCTGCTGGGGTTCA